AGGTCTTTTCCAACCTGGTTGATTCCATGATGGTCAGAAGCAGCACTCTCAAGAGGAACACCCTCCAGACAGCATGGCCAACCCACTCTCCCGCCTGGAGACACAGGTGGGAGCTTCCCTCCTCCCACCAAAACCTGGAGCTTTAGGAACAACTCCTGTGCTGATGTCAGCTTTTGGAGTCCAGCTGGAGAATCCCTCGGTGTGGTACTCCCGTGCTAAGGAGCACAATCAACCCTGCTGCTAAAACACATGAAGGGGTGTCTTAACAACCAACCTTTCTGTGCAGGCTCAGAAGGCTCATGACACCCAAGAGATGTGCCCAAGAACACTTCCCCCACAACAGCCCCTGACTGGGATGGTCAGAAAAAGCTCAGAAGAGCAGCAGTGGACATGGTCTTTACAGAGAGGATGCCAAAAGTTACCTGAGGTGCCTGTGTGTGCATGGGCTGCTCCTCGAGCTGGGGCTGGACAGTGCCCATGGCAGCCTGGCTCAGTGTGGTCACTCGGCTGGGCTGCCCTCGCAGCGTCACAGTAATGGTCGTAGGGGCCTTCAAGCCTGGAAAACACAGGAGCAACACGTTCCTGAGACACATGGAGGCCACGTTCACCAACTCAGGGGGCATCAGGAGCCTCTTCCCATGCTCAGGAATCCCACAGCTACAGCTCAGGAGCAAAATAAGCTTCGGCAACACTGGTCTCGAGGGGATGGGGTGTTTCAGGTGCCCCTGTCCCCCTTGTCCCTCACCTGCTGCCTGGTTGGAGATCTGAGCCAAGCCAGGGAGGCTGCTGGCCAGCTTGGCCAGTCCCCCATTTGTCAGCAGCTGGTGAATGGCCGTGGGCTTCCCGCCTGCTGAGGCTCCCAAGGACAGAGAGGTGGCAACCGGGATGGTGCGGACAACGGCACCGGTGTCCGTGGTTATAGCACTCAGGTTCTGGATAGGTGCAGGTGTCTTCACAGCCGAGGTCTGGAAGGAGAAGCAGAAGCAGGGAGAACCTGGAAGGAAGCTAAAGGTTTCCACATGGCCACAAGCAGGTCTAAATGCAAGTGAACTCGTCCCTTCCAGTCTGCACATCCCCGTTTTGGCTTGAAGACTGGGAGAAACTGTGGCTCCTCTTCTAAGGAAGCCACCCATGCTGGGTAATGGGCTCCTCTCCAACTGAAGGTGCCTGAGACATCACAGGCATGTGTTTCTGCACTAGAACACTGATCCCCAAAGTTCATTCTCCATCTCCTTCCATTTTCTAGGGGAAACAAACTCCTCCAGCCCCACTTCCTGGACCTCATTATGGGAACCCTTAGCCCACGTTTGCAGGCTGCCAGGGCTTGGATGCATCATTTCAGCTGCAGTTCACACCTACCACCCTTCATCCCTTCTAGTTCTGAAGCAAACAAGGCCTATGAGGGTTCCCCCTTGACTCCTTTACCCTGCTCAGAGCTCCCTCCAGCGTGGGATCTCTGATGTTGGGAGGGTGCATACCTGCACGGGCTGCCCAACACTGGCTGGAAGGGGAGATGACTTGGTCCCAATGTCCTGCAGGCTGAAGCTCAGGCCTTGCAGCAAGCTGCTGGCAGATGCTGCTCCTAAAAACAGATGGAAAGACTAACAACAGGCTAAAAATCAGCAGCATGATGGAATTCCAGGTGTGCTCTATGGCAGGCAACTGCAAAGCGCTTCCTGAAAGAGGAGCATCCCAAGCAGCCTGCCTCGAGGTTGGGATCCTCCCAGCCACTCTACACACACAGCCCAACCCATTTCACTGCTGCAGCTGCCAGTGAGGTCAGATGTGAGACCTGGGAGCAAGAGGAGGCCGGGTTTGGTGTCTCAAAGCATCATAACATAGAAGTGACACAATTAACAGATCACTTACTGCACCTCCAGCCTCACCCAATGCATCCCATGGGATGTCTGCAGGCTCTGCAGTAGCAAAGCACCTCAAACACTGCCTCAGCAAACCCAAAGCAACCAGGGAATGCAAGAAAGGATCCACCAAACCATTTTGAACCTGCATTACCTTTTACATTCACAAGAGACATGGAGAGAAGCAGGTACCTTGGAGGGTACTGGCTGGCTGGGCCTGTATGCAGTGGGTGCTGCTGGCCACCAGCCTGCTCTGCAGGGCATGGAAAGCACTGGGTGTTGTGCTGCTGGGGATCACAGAGGATGGAGCAGGGCTCGTGGAGGAGGTTTCTGCTGCTGAACTCAACCTACAGAGCAAGGAGAAGAAGAAGACCCTGGTTTAGCAACATGGGCTGGCTCTGACAGTGACTGTCACCAGCCTAAAGCAACCCAGCAGGACTCCTGGAAGCACAAGACTACCAAATGAGCTACAAAACCCCAAAGCAAGAGGTGTTACCCTGTGCCCACCACAGCAGGTAAAACAAGGAGCACCTCCAGCAAAAGTGGTGCATTTCCAAACTGGAAGTGAGCTTGTTCCATGTCTGCACCTACCTCCATGCTGCAAGGGCTCTGCCACCCTGCTCAAGGGGAATCTACTCAGCAGGGACACTTTGTTTAAGACCCACTTTCTACTTGGAACAGCTCTTCTTCCTATCCCTTCCCAGATCAGAGTCCAGTTAAAGCTTGGATTGATTTAAAAGGGAAAACACTGATGTGAGATGTCAACAGCAGGTTCATTCCCCACTGTAAATCCCTATGGCCAGTTAATCATGAGGCTTCTTCAGGTTGCCCAAGGGAGCTGTGGCTGCCCCATCCCTGGCAGTGTTCAAGGCCAGGTTGGACACAGGGGCTTGGAGCAACCTGCTCTAGTGGAAGGTGTCCCTGCCCGTGGCAGGGGGTTGGAACTGGATGATCTTAAGGCCCTTTCCAACCCAAACCATTCCATGATTCCTTCACCTATCTTTGGAAAAGCAAGCTTGGCTGTCAGAGGGAATGAAGGGAAGGACTGAACACCACATTTCTGGCCAAGACACCACAGCCATTCCAAAGGCAGAGATGGATTTGGGAAACCATCCACAGATACAACCCAACAGCCACAATCCCTTCTCCTCCTGCCCGTTTCTGCCAATCTCCAACTCAGCTGCTGGTTGACAGAGAGTTTTCAGGAGCTCAGGAGTCTCCTGCACCTCCCAAAACCCCAATCACGAGCCAGACACCAGCAAGCTCCACATGCAGAAACCACCCTGTTGTGGTGCCTCCCAGCAGCAGCCTGTCCCCCAGACCCAAGTGCACTCACTTGGGGGTGCTGAGCAGTCCTGAGAGCTCCTTCACGCCCGGCACAGCCTGGCCAACAGCCATAGGGACCGGCTTCCCAGCGACCACTGCAAGAGAACAAAAGAAGGAATGGCCCTTTCTCTCCTCCAGGAGTCTTTGGGGATGCCTCATCTCTCACACAGCTCCCCATGGGCTCATCCTGCTCACAAAGCAGCTCCTGAAGGAAAGCTCTGCTGCAGACACCCTCCAGCTACTGGAGATGGGGAGCATCCAACAGAGCAGAGCTGTGGCTAAAAACCAGAAAGTTGCCATTGTGGAAGTGCTACAAGAGACAAAACAGAAGGAATCAGCTGCAAAGATCTCTAAAGCAGTGAAATCTCACACCCTCAGCACCAAATCTCTCTCCTAAACGTTCCCTCCACTTCATCCCCTCCTCCTAATCCGTCGCAGCACAGACCTGCCACCTCAACACAGCAGTTGGGATCTGGCTGGTCACTAGTGATGGAGTTTTGCCCCCACTCTTTAGAGCCACTTTACAAAATACACAGGGATGCGACGAGTCACGAGATCTGTTTATTGCAGCATTTGAGGGATACAACTGAGTTTGTCTGGTGCATTCCTCTGCTCACACGCACGCTTTAAAGGGAATTCTTGCTTTGGTTCATGTTTTACTTCTGCAATTCATTTCCTTTCTGTGGAAAGAAGTAAAGTTTGGAAAATTAAAATAAGAAGATTCCAGAAAGCAGAGATTTGCAAAGCTGCCAAGAGAGAAACTGGGACCTTCAAGAAGGATGTGTGGTGGTTAATCCTATTTCACAGTTCAAAAGGACTGTTGAAGGAACCAAGAGATGCTTCCAAGGGAGCAGAATTCTCTCTCAGCTTTGAAACCCTCTGATTTCCTCCCAGAATGGAGACGTGACCTTTCCATCCTGCCCTGCACTGAGCTGACACTGACAAAGAGAGCTGCTGGACACATCTGGAGCTCTGCACTCCACCATGAGGAAGACACAGACGTGAGGAAGATGTACGCGCCAGCGCCAAGGCAACATCCTCCACTTCCAGGGTGACAGCAACAAAGGTTTCAGCCTCCCTTGCAAAGGCTCGAGGGGAAGAAGACCAAGCACATCACCTCTTCTTGGACTGCAGGGCCTCTGCAAGGGGGGTTTTCCCAGCCACAGAGGCAGGAGAGGAGCTGGAATTTCTTTGTATGTGTTGTGCCAGACTCAAGGGCCAAAGGGGATGAGCAGAGCGGGACACTGGGCTGCATCCTGAAGTCTGGACACACAAAGGTCTTCCAGAGGAAGGAACATCACGGTCATCCCTAAAGCCGGAACACGATCCCGGCGAGAGCTTCGTGCAGGAGCAGAACTGGAGGTGCACATGACCTGCTTGGAGCAAGGGGTCCACCAGGACCATCCTGCTTCCAGCAGCACTCGATGCCTCGGAGGAAGGAGCCAAACTCCCCTTGGCTGCAGTGGAGCGTTTCGCTGGAGCGTGCTATGGAAAAGAGAGGCTCCTGCCAAGCTCCTCCGTGCTGTGAGCCCCCACACTTCCCCAGCTCTCCCCACAGCACTCACACCTCGAGCCTCAGCCTGGTTTGTGCAGCCGCCTCCTCCAAAGCCCAGAGCAATGTCAAAGCTCAGAGCTCCCTCCCCACGCCGTGCCCCAGCACCGAGCCCACTCTCTGGTTCAGAAGCAGCTGTACAATCACAACTCACTTTCTGCCTGGGTGCTGAGGGCTGCTCCGTTCCCCACGCCAGCAGCATCGCCGTGAGACACAATGGTCACCTTGATTTTGGCTCGTTTGGAGGGTTTGGTGCACTGGGTCGGGCTGGGGGTCTGGTGCCTCTTCAGCTGCACACGCGCATCATCTTTGTCAGCCCCTTCCGAGTGCTCTGAGGACACTGGAACTAGGGGACACAGAAGGAGCTGTTTGAAAAGTAGTGGCTGGTCCCTCAAGGGCAGCGCTGCTCCGAGGTGTGGAGAAGGGACACATGCCCATGCACGCTTCCAGAGCTCCCTCCATGCCAGCCTTGCCCATCTCCCATGCACCAGGAGCCCACATTTCTCCTTTTCACCATCCACTTCATCTTCCACATGCCCTAAGCTGCTGCTTTAGGGCCAGGACTTCACTTAAGCTACTCACAGGCTAAGCATATAAAGCTTATCACAGCATATAGAGCCTGTCCTGCCTCTGCGGCGAAGGAAAATGGATACCTACAGTGATACCACGTCTCCACATACACCCTTCTCATTTCATAATGAATCCTGGCATCAGACCCCTCCAACATCCCTAATTTCCAGGTGAGGGGATGAGGGTGCAGGTTCTCACAGAGCTGGTGCTGCCAATGCTGGATCAGAGCTCAGCCTGCTCCTGACACACCAGCAAAGGTATGTGCACGCCTGTCATCCAGCACATCTCCTCCAGTGCTCCCCACTGGCCCTCCAGGAGCTGGGCTGAAGCACAAGGGTTTTAAAGGCACTGAGCAAAGCAGCATGAGCACAGGAGGTGCTGCAGCAAAGCCAAAGCCCCACATACCCTGCACTGCTTGGGACTAGGGGGGAAACCACAAGCTGGGATTTCTCTTCCACATCGATGGCTTCTTTTGCTGTCATGTCCTTGACCCATGACATCCTGCCTAGAGCACGAGCTTGCCAGGGCCAGAGTTACCCAAAAAAGCAGAGAGGACCCATGACAAGCACCTCTGGGCAGCCCAGGAACAAAACAGAGTCAAGAGCTGCCACATCCTGCCCAGCCACTCTCCACGAGTCTCCCACCACTGGTGCAGGATCATCCAGCTCTCCCCATGCACAGCTCCTGCAGACCACTGCTGGGTCAGCTAAGCCTCTCGTTACAGATGGTCCTGGGTGTCCAAGCTGTGCATTCAACAGCTGAGAGGCCAAGATGCACATATCCTTTCATTTAGATATAAATAAATATGGATATATTACAGACAATCAATATAGATGTGCACGTGTGTATATGTATGTATTTATAGCCTCCCCATGTACCACCCATATAGCTCTGAACTGTGGGTGTAGGACAAGACTGTGGCCAAATCTCTATATGTCAGGTAACTCCAAGCATTTTGGGGCCACTCCTCTCCCCAGGGTAAGTGCCAAGCTTGGTGTCCTGATCTCCACAGCCACACTTCATAGAATCACCATTAGTTTGGGTTGAAGGGAGCTTAAAGCTCATCCAGCTCCAACCCCCTGCCACGGGCAGGGGCACCCTCCCCTAGAGCAGGTTGCTCCAAGCCCCTGTGTCCAACCTGCCCTTGAACACTGCCAGGGATGGGGCAGCCACAGCTTCTCTGGGCACCCTGTGCCAGCGCCTCAGCACCCTCACAGGGAAGAGCTTCTGCCTCAGAGCTCATCCCAATCTCCCCTCTGGCAGGTTCAAGCCATTCCCCTTGGCCTGTCCCTACATCCCTTGTCCAAAGCCCCTCTCCAGGTTTCCTGGAGCCCCTTTAGGCACTGGAGCTGCTCTGAGGTCTCCCCTTCAGGAGCCTTCTCATCTCCAGGCGGACCCAGCCCAACACTCCTGTGCCTCCCACCCTCCTGCAAACATGCATGGTCCAAATCACCATCCAGAGAGATGCCTCAGGCGTGCACAGACCACAGGCACCAAAGCCACCCCCCAAAGTGCCACCAGCCAAGCAGGACAGTGAAATGGCACATGCACAGGCAGTGGCATCAGGTGCCCCTCAAAGCAAGCAGTGACCCAACGTCCCTCCGTGTCCCCCCTGCAGGAGACAGGAGCCCACTTCTGCTCACACTGGGGCTGCATGTTCAGGAATGGTTTGGGTTGGAAAGGACCTTAAGATCACCCAGTACAACCCCCCTGCCCCGGGCAGGGACACCTCACACCAGAGCAGGTCGCTCCAAGCCCCTGTGTCCAACCTGGCCTTGAATGTGCCCAATCATCCCACTCCCAGAGCTGTGTGCCCCACTTCCTACCTCACATCTCACTCGTCCAAGCCAATGTAGTAACAAGGCCAGAGGTCTTAATTTGCTTTTGATGTTACCAGAACAGAGGCCAGGCTGGTGCCAGCCTCTCTACACATCACCACCAGCAGAGGAACATCCAATGTGGTTCCTCTTCCCAGCAGATGCTGGGGGGAGGACTCGGGAGAAGCACAGGGCTCTGTGTGTGCTCCCAGGATAACCTCTTTGCACAGGGGAGGGCACAAAACAAGGCTCAAGGGAGAAAGAAACCTTTAAACAAGGCTCAAGTGAGAAAGAAACCTTTAAAACAACCAGCCCAGCCAATACTTGCCTCAGGAGCTGTTGCCACAGTTGTACACGTGCAGTTTGGCCTATCTGGGGTGTGTTCAAGGAGCCTGTATCCTTGGAGTCTCCACACCACGTGCTAAAGTGCCACCAACTTCTCTGCACCCATGGTAGGACCTCATCAAGTTGAAAGCACCAGTAGTGCTATGGAGAGAGGCCAGTTCTCACCCACATCAATGCTCTCAGCACCCTGCGGTCACCCAAAGGGAGAACTGACACCAACAGCTCACACGATGACACCAGAGCCCCCCAGAAGCCTTGGATTTCAACTCCTCCTCCTCTCCTAATCCCAGATCCACACAGTCGCTGCCATTTGGAATGGCAAAACATCTCTTTAAATGTACTGTGGGTCCCACCCTTTGATCCCCAAACCTCAGAGCAACACACACACACACCCCTTGTGTGCTCCAGCACCCAACACAAGATACCACAGGACTACAGATTCCATGTGTCTCCTGGTCCAGAGAGCATCCCTCTCCCACCACACCATCATCTCCCCAAAGCCATCCTTCTCCTTGACCTCTCTGCTCTTCTCTAACTTTCCCTGGACAAAACCCACTGCTCCACATGTCCACATCTGCCCCTTCCATGTCACTTGGCAGTCCCTTGATTCTGCTCCCATGTGTTTGGGATGCTCCACCAACAATACACATCCCCCCTGAACCTCAGCACAGGAGAGGGTTAAATTCACAACCACAAATGTCACCACATCAGTCACAAAGCTTTAGTCCACCAGAGCAAACCAGCTGCCAGCCTCCACAGCTCCATGTACCTACTGGGAGAGGGGAAGAGCTCAGGGGAAGTTAATGCTCTCAGTAGCAAGGAGCCATCAGCTTTAGCTTCAAATACAGCAGAGAGAAGGCAAAAAGCAGGGGGACAAGGGGACACGCTGGGCCACATCCCCAAACCAGTGCAAGGGGAGAGGAAGAGGATGAGAGAAGGTAGCAAAGACAGAGAGAAGGAGGGAAACAGAGAAAGAGACAGGAAGAAGTGAGGAGATACTCACCAAAGAGACATGAAGAGGTGCCAGGAGGAAGAGCTTTCCTCACCAGCATGTTTTGTTTCAGAAAAGCAGCAAACTGAGCTGAAATGAATCAGAGAGAATTACAGTATCACAGCCCGGCTCTGGAGGGGACAGGCAGCTCCAGGGACACCACTGGGACCCACACAGAGACCTGGAGCAGGCAGAGATCTCCAGACATGAATCAGCCAGCCACAGGGCACAGTGGAGACACTCCAACCTCCTGCTCCAGCCAGCAGTGCAGCACATCCCACACTAGAAGTGGCTCCATCCCAGCTTTCAGAGGGAGCACATCCCACCAGCAGGAGCCCTCTCCAGCCCCACAGCCATGAGGAAAAGGTCCAGCACCCCGGA